CCAAAAGTTGGAATGAAAAGTAGAAGTGACACCATTAGTTAGGGTGATTTTCTGGCAAAACTTAATGGTGGTTTGATGAAATTTCGAAAGTTAAGGAAGGTCATCTTATAAATGTCCAACCAGTAGAAGTCGGAAACATTGTATGCTATAGTGAACCGTGACCTGGGTTCAATCATCCTAGATTCACGTGAAACATGACCCGATTCACTAACTCCAACGACCTGATTTAGAATTGAAACCAGTTAAAATTTTGAAAAGAAAAAACTCTTTTTAAAATAATAAACAAAAAAACTGTGAGAAATTAAGCAAATGAAGTATGTGTATCTTAATTGCGACATGATTCTCAATGTTCTCTTACTGTAACTAATATCAACTAGCATTTAAAAACCAAACCTAAAGTGTACCACATTTCCTAGCGTACCATATGAATCTTACCATATTCCTGTACCCATCTCGTGAACCTGAATGAAGCGGGTTACATGCAACTATGGTCCAAACTTAAAGGGTGTCTTAAATTACCTCTAACCATTAGACCACAACTCCGAAGTTATAGTGATGATCGAGGATTATAGTTTAATATTGATTCTAACAATGCCCCCACAAGTTAATCGTTCTTTTATGGGTCGAAACCTAGATTCATGTAGTAGCGGTGTCAATTTTCGGAAAATTCGCTTTAAATTTGTGGCCGGTAAGATTTGAACCTGAGTTGCTCTGATACTATCTTAAATTACCTTTAGCCATTACACCATAACTCTAAAATTATGGTGAGGATCGAGAATCATAGCTTTATATTGATTTTAACATTTTTATGAAATTTATCCTTTATACATAAGTATGCAAGAACTGCTAGAATTATGTACTTACTGAAAGTACCAAGATAGAGGTATTTGTTACCAAAAACCCTCCCAATTCTTGCTTCCCATCTTCCATTGTGATGATGCCTACAATCCATCCAGATTATGAGATTTTAAATTTTGAACTTGAAATCTTGCTAATATAAAGGTAATTTTGCAGTAAACTTTTAAATAAACAAACATATATTGACGTTATACCTTGCAACTCCTCTATACTTGGAGACACCTCTTGAGAAACCACTGCTTTTCCTGAAACAAACAGAAATTATTCAAAGTGATCATAACAGTAATTTAATCAAATTACTTTCAGAAAATACTTAGAGAAATGGAAAAAACCTCCTAAGTGAGGCTAGGTACTCTTCTTTGGTGACATTCAGCATTGCTTGAAACTCGCGCTCATAATCAGATATCTGAAATCAGTGAATAACTAACATTTGTTAATCAGCTGTACCATAAGTTAATTTTTGGTCAAATAGGTAGTAATTACTTGAGATTAGGACATACAGGGAAATTTGTGAAAGTGCTAGGTCCCCAATATTTGAGTGCAGCAAGATCATAAGATCTAGCAGCTGATTCTTCTTCATCATATGCACCAAGGTAAACTGTGGTATAATTCAGACAACATATAAGTTTTTCCACAAAAGCTGAGATAATAATAATAATAATTATTTTCTTTGGAGAAAAGTTAATAAAAGAAGTATAACTTCTACCCTGTTTTCCCTTCTTTTTCAGTGTTGCATTCCAAGATCCTTTGTCCCATAGATGAGCTTCAAACCGCCCAGTCCATCGGTGTCTGCATGATTAGTAGTTGTGAGTTCTCTGGTCCTGTTATGATTAAGGTATGTATTTTCCTGTAAAGTTAATTTTGATTCTATTTTAATTTGTCAACCACTTTAAGCTTTATTTCCTGTAGTTTCTGTTGTTTTTAATTTATATATACTAACTTCTGTTGTATAAACGATACACCATTTATCTTGCATAAGGAGCTCTAGAGATGGAGTGGATAGGAGTTATTGAATGAATCATATATCTTCATCATATTCAAGAATATTACATATATTTCATTTGACGTACAAAGGCATCTTTAACTCTAGTAATTTGCATTATATATTTAATATTCTAGTTCTTTGTTGTTTTGGGAAAAAAAGGTAGATGTTTAATGTTTAAAAATTCATTTGAAAGAAAGATAAGCATAAAAGTCAAATCTATGTAGTCAAATCGAAGAATAGAAAATTAGAAGCAGATCACAAAATTAGAAGTAAAATGTGCTTAGTATGTTATTACTGCTATAAATTTAATTTGATAACAAAAAGATAATCAATACTAAACTTTAACTTACATATGCACTTTTACATCTATCTTTTCAAATTGATATGAAATTACTTTTTCCTTTCAGGCTTCTTTTCTGTTGATTTTAAGCACTTTCTTATTTCTGATGTAGAGCATAATGAATACAGATGTTTCTGTTTTGTTTCCTTTCTCACACTATGTGTGGGAAAACTTGAAATTACAAAAGACGTTATTATTTATTGTATTCTATATGAGAATTTTTTTTCATTTTCCTTTTTAGATGTATGGTAAATTTCTCATAATTATCATGAAATTTGGAGGTTTTACACAAAACTAGCATAAAACTTTTATTAGAGAAAACCATCATAAACTGTACTTTTCATTAAACTATCATGCCAAATTGTGGACAATGTTGCTTGTGTATACTTTATTTATCTATGATATTACTCTCTTTCTCTCAAAGGCAGTTTAAATATTTTATCCAAGTTGTATTGGTGACAGTGTTTTCAATAGTTCATTCTACAATTTTAAAAATTCCTTTTTCTAGATAAAAAAATTTATGATAGTTTTTTATAACCCTCCCAATTCATGATAGTTTTGTGAACTCTACATTTATGTACTTTCTCCTTTTCAACATATGCAGCAAGCAAGATTCGAAATCAATACTTTTTTTGTTACTGTGTGCGTGACTAATGTTAGAATATAAAAGTCTAACGCTCAAGTCTTATCACGACCAAAACTAATGTTAGAATTTTGGTATAGTGGCAGGATTCTTTGACATGGTATCAAAGCAATTCAGATTTGAATCTTACTAGCTACGAATTTAATGTGGGATAGTTTTGTGAACTCTACATTTATGTACTTTCTCCTTTTCAACATATGCAGCAAGCAAGATTCGAAGTCAATACTTTTTTTGTTACTGTGTGCGTGACTAATGTTAGAATATAAAAGTCTAACGCTCAAGTCTTATCACGACCAAAACTAATGTTAGAATTTTGGAATAGTGGCAGGATTCTTTGACATGGTATCAAAGCAATTCAGATTTGAATCTTACTAGCTACGAATTTAATGTGGGATAGTTTTGTGAACTCTACATTTATGTACTTTCTCCTTTTCAACATATGCAACAAGCAAGATTCGAAGTCAATACTTTTTTTGTTACTGTGTGTGACTAATGTTAGAATATAAAAGTCTAATGCTCAAGTCTTATCACGACCAAAATTAATGTTAGAATTTTGGTATAGTGGTAGGATTCTTAGACATGGTATCAAAGAAACTCGGATTTGAATCTTACTAGCTAAGAATTTAATGTGGGTTAAAATAAATTACTTGCTAACCCCTCGAAACTTAGAACTCCTCTTAACAGTGCTCCTTGCAGCCGACTGCTCCGATTTCTCTCCGTTACCATTAACACAAACAGTTGCCGGTGGCTGTCTCCGTCTTCTCTTGACAATCTTGCCTCTTTCAGTATGTTCCAATGCGTACTCTATGGTTCTCCTTTTGCTGCTATTTTCCTCGCTTTTTATCTGCATTGTATTGATGTTTGAGGAAGGTAAGGAAGTAGTCAGGAGGTTTTGTTATGATCTTGTTGGTCTACAACTCTATATTATATATATATGCTGCTTTTTCTTTTTTTCTTTTTCGTTTTTGAGTAAAAGACAAGATAAGACGATGAGCTCGAGACTAGACTGATGGCACAAGCCAACAAAAGAATGTTGCCTGGTTTAATTTCATATATTCAGTTCTAATTCTTTCTACCTCTTGTAATATTTCGTGGGTACAGATTTATTTTTGTATACGACATCTGCTCTATCTTTGCTTTTAAAAAAAAACTATAATCAGTCCTTTCTTTCTGTATACCATTGTTCTTGGAAACTGATAACTAATACATTCAGAACTCTTAAATCAAGTCATAATTGTAAATCCCTCTAACCATTAGACTAAAGCTCCGAAGTTATGGAGAGAACCGAGAATTTTAATTTTTATGTTAATTTTAACTTGTCCCCGTAGATTGAGCGTTCGTTTTTTATGGGTCGAAACCTGGACTCGGATACCATCTTAAATTAAGTCTCTCTAACCATTACATCAAAAAATACAAAGTTAATGATTAAGATCGAGGATTATAGTTTTATATTAATTCTAATGAAGATGGTGATGCAACCATTCAAAAGAAATATCGTCTTAGATATAAGTTATCTAGTCATAGTTTATTTATCTTGAGAAAAAGCTAAAATTCTCCGTTAAAATTTCTTTTAGATGGGATTTGAACCTGAGTTGTTCTGATACTATCTTAAATTAAGTCTCTCTAACCATTGCATCAAAAAATAGGAAGTTAATGGTTAAGATCGAGGATTATAGTTTTATATTAATTCTAATGAAGATGATGATGCAATCATTCAAAAGAAATATAGTCTTAGATATAAGTTATTTAGTCACAATTTATTTCTTGAGAAAAAGCTTACATGTTTAATACTTTGGGTTTATTTCGTTAAACTCTTGTTAATGAAACACGGGAACTAGTTTCTCAAAGTTCCACTCAAAAGAATAAATAAATAAATAATATACCTTTTTTGCTTGGAACTAAACACAACAATTCACTGCAATGGGGGCTACTTTTGCAAATTGAAGATGAGACAATAAGAAAGAAACATAAAAACATATAAATACAAGCTTATACTATTAAGAAGAGGCCAATGGAATTTGAGTTTGAAAATGAGAGTTTGAGATTTATGCGCCGAGGCTAATTAGGAATTAGTTAATTAGAACAATCCAAAACAAAATTTATGGGTCGATATCTACTAAGCTGAAGCATATTCCACAATATTTTAATTTAACTCGACATCAATTTATCATAATGATCATAGTTGGACAAAACAGTCCTTTAGCAAATACTTATACATCCATAGACCAACCCAAGCTTAGCTGGCGTTTCATGCGAATTAATTTAAGATCAAACAATGACATAAATTTATTATTTTCTACTTCAGTAAACAAACAAACAAAACAAATGCTATATTCCATTGCCAGAGAGGTCTGAGGAGTGAGCCAATTAGTTTTGAACATAATATTTTTAATCAAGCTAGCAATCCATTGAAGTGAGACAATTAGTTTTGAACATAATATTTTTAATCAAGCTCTTGTTTAACTGTCACGTTAGTATTTAGTGGCTAAACGTCATTTGATGCTTGGGGCGGCACCTCCTCAACGGAGGGATAAAATAGAGAAGGAAAAAAAGTGAAATGAAAATGAGGAGGAAACGGGAAGAAGAAGGGATATATGAGAGAGAAAGAGGGGAAAAAAATTAATAAAATAGCATAATTTCTTTAGGACCACTGAAAGATTTTTAGGTTGTATATAGGTTCAAAGATAAAAAGGACAGAAAAATCCCTGTTATGCCCCTGTCATCTACTCAGTTTGCGAACAAGTCCAATCTGAAGAATAAAAGATAACTTTTAGACTCGATAAATTCCCTATAACCCCCTGCCTTATCATAAATTACTAGGAAGTCCAAAGGCTAGTATATTAGAGTTATACAATTTTGATAAATTGCTAAAGTTAGCAATAAGCTTATATATATCGTAGATTTTAATTATTATTGGTTATATTTGTATTTATTTGGGTTTAAATTATGAATTGATTTACCTATAATTGATATTAGTTTTATATAATCACATTATAGGTTTTAGTTGATATTTAGGAGAATAATAGTTTGAGAAAGTCGTGACCACTAGAGGTGAGTTCATTTCTCACTAGTATTTTTGAGGTGAGTTCATTTCTCACTAGTATTTTTACGATATATAATTGCATGAGTACATAGTGCTATGTTTGAATAATCTTGCGCTTGAAAAATATATAACCTATTATTTTTCGTGTATATGAAAGTTAAATGTGATTTCATCTATTTCTGTTGTGGTCTATCCTATAATACGATGTTAGTCTCGTACAAGATATGAAAAGCAAATTTGATTTTTTGTAAAATATAAAAAGTGAATTTGGCTCTCATGCAGTTTCAAATAATTGTGAGTATTGCTTTATCTGAAAGTTTTTGATGAAGTATTTTGAATGTATTTCAACAGTTTAACGGATTCAAAGATTTTCTAACTTAGTATTTGATAAAAATAAAGAAAAGTGAAAAATCCGTAAACTGTTTTAACTGGGATGAGAAGTTTTATCTTGTCCACTTCATTTGAAAACATATGTAAATTCTGGTACGCAATGTATTACTCATTTGACAAGTGATCCTCGATGTTTTCAAACCCTCAAAAAGCCCACTATGGAATGATTTTGCCTGTCATATGGTGAATGCATCTTTATTTTGCCCCTCTGTATTGGCGCCCCTCTGTATTGGCCCTTCTATATTGGCCCTTCTGAAATTTATTCTGACCCCTCTGTATTTGGCCAGTAACCTATGGCAGTGTTAGGTGTATTCGATTTTCCGGAATTATCTGTTATGTGATGCGTTTTACGCATTCCCATGCTACTGGGCCATAATTCGTAGCCTTAGTGTGACCTATGAGGTGACCTTTACATTCATGAATAACTCATCGAGAATTAAGATTCTAACAATTGACTGTGAAATTAAGAAAATAATAATTCTCTGGTTTTGTACAAATTAGTAGTTCTTTTCTTTCTTAATGTTTACCTTGATTCAAAAATGGTTCGATTCTAGGAAATATCACAGTATATTCAGTTGCACATAAGAAAGAAAACATAATTATTGTATTCTTTCTTGAAGATGACAATATTATGATATTTGGATCGTATTTTGCTATTTTTGAATTTCTGATGCAAAACTTATAATTCGTTATTTCTGTGAATTATCCTTATTATTATTTTGTTAGTTATCTAGGAACTCTAGTGGGAAATGTTCTCACTGAGCTCTAGCTCACCTCATCGTTTTAAAAAAAAATTCAGATCTGATGTAGCTTCATACTATCCAAGCTTTTGGTTGTGGCGCTTTGCTGAGAGGCGTTATATGAAAAGCCTCATTTTTGAATGTTACATACAGTCAAGAATGTGCTTTATTTTGTAAAATGCTTATAACGGTGAGCTTGTGGGTTGTAAGTACTGATTATATACATATATATAGTTGCTCTGAACTTCTATCATCAGCAGATTTATGAATATTTTGTGATAAACTATGTGATATGAAGTGTCAGGCTTGACTCGTGCATAAGACTTGTCTTGTGCATGGGTCGCTGCTGTCGCATAACCTATGTTTATGAATTTTCGCTGTGCTATCGGGGCGTGACAGCTGCTTTCCTGTCCCTCTCCTTGCTAGCAAGACAAAAAAAATTAGGAGGAAATGAGAGCAAGACAATAATATATCATAACGTTGTTTCCTATGCTGACAATTATTGGTAAGACCAAACATATGATCAATTCTTTATTAATAGAGCCTCATTATATACGACTTTATCCATTCAAACTTGCTAATAGCCCATTATTATTCATGCTTTAGAAATCAACTATACACAGAATTAGTCAAGATGGTGTACACCTACTTAACCAAAAGAAGAAAAACTCAGAAAGCTGCCTGTAAACCAATTATAGAGGCAAATTGCAAAATTACAATTGTAAATAATTTTTTAGAAAGAAAAACGTGTTCTATTGTCCCTTGAAGATTTGAACCCTTATCACCACCTGATGGACATTAAAATAAAAAACATTTTTCAATATCCGTAAAAAAGTTTACAGAAAAGCCCTCTGTTGCTCATAACTTTTGCAATCATGACAACCATATCTTTCGGAAAAAGATCACACAATCATATGAGTTAACTTCCTGGACATTTGTTCACAAGTTCATATAATGTCCTGGTCCTGTGAAAATTATTTTTAGTAACATACCAACATACCAACATATCAATTCAGAATCTAGCAGCCAAAATCTAAATATGCACAAAAGTTAAAAGAAAAGTGCTCCAACAAATTTGCAGAACACACGAACTTCAAGCAATAATCAAAGATTGAAAGGATCATTCTCTGCAATAAGAGGGTAGGAATCGTACAACACGTCTATTAAAAATCCACAAATACCATATTTTTCTACAAGGCACAAACTTGTATTATATATCTTGATAAGCAAAGTTACAAACAAAACAAGCTAGGCAGATGAATAAACAGCAAATGGCATAAATGAACTATTGCTCCCATTGGAATTCTGAATCATCGTCCTCTAATTGTTCAAACTGAAATATGCACTTCTGGATGCATCCATCTCGGTAACAACATTTCTCATATGTGGCCTTGCATTTGGATTCTCTCTCGAGCAACAGAGGCCAATCTTGATCAATGAGAGCAAGAATCCTTTCAGTAACTCTTCCGCAGTGCTCCGGTTAAGGTTGTCCCCATTATTGTTCTTCTCTAATGAGAACAGTTGAGGATCCACAATCTCCAGTATTTTATCTGGAAAGGACTTCTCCACAAATTCACGAAGTGTTATGCCATTTTGAAACATGTCATCAGTGGGTCTCTTTCGTGTGAGTATCTCGAGTAGTAGTATTCCGTAACTGTACACATCTCCTTGTGTAGAGACTTGATTGCTGATCCCATATTCTGCAGTTTTTAATGTGAAATTTCATTAGATAAAATCCTACCAATTCCAAATGACTCACTGGAAAACGTTCAGAAGCATGACTAGTAAACATAATTTGAGTAGGTAAGAGCATCTCCGACCAATCTCCAAAAACCCGAAATGACGCAAAGGCTGCGCCAAATCTCCCTCCAACCGGACGGCAAATGTAGTGCCATTTTGATGAGGTGCTACAGTACTGCACCAGATTTGGCGCATCACTGTAGCTTTGGCGCAGGAAATTTTCCTGCTGCTGCTGCTCGCTTGCTACTTGTTCGCCGGCGGAGCGACGGAGGGTGGAGGATCGGGTTGTATGATTCTCGGGATTGTGAGTTCTTGGATGAGGGTTTTCTATGCTCAGAGAATGGGAGGCCTGATCGGTTGTATACCAAGTGGAGGTGGAAACCGGCGAGGTGTAATCTACCAAGGTAATAAATTTCTGTTCTTGATTCTGTTTAGTTTGAGAATTTGTGGTTAATTTGGTGTTGTGTAATGGGAGTTTTGGTTTAATGGACGAGGAAAGTTGTTGATTTTGAGATTTGATACATTGGATTTGGGTAAATGTGAAGGTTAAGGTGTAGTTATTGTGCAATTTATGAATCCATACGCTCAATTATGAGAACTGATGCTATATTTGCTAGTTAATGAATTTTCGTTGATTAGGGAAAAAACCCACAAGTTACTGAATCTGATAATTGATACATTTGATTAAATAAGAAAAACTTACATTTAGATAAAAAATACAACATAAAAATTAGGAGATAAAAAAAATTACACATAAATTAGGACATAAAATATATGTAATGCATAATTAATTATATGTAATGTATTATATAATTATATAATTTGTTAAATATTTTAAATAGATAAAAATATATTATATAATTATATAATTTGTTAAATATTTTAAATAGATAAAAATATTAAAAGATAAGAATAATAAAATGAATATTCTTTTTGGTGTAAGTTAAATATTTTAAATAGATAAAAATATTAAAAGATAAGAATAATAAAATGAATATTCTTTTTGGTGTAAAATTTGGCGTAATGGGTTGGAGATGGAATAGTGATTTGGTGTAAAAACTACACCAACTTGATGTAAAACCTACACCATTTTGGGTTTTTGGGTTGGAGATGCTCTAAGGCCATCGTTTCCCTTTTTTGTTAAATAAAAAGTTGGCACGACTTTCAAAAATAAGATAGTAGTAGCAGTAGTAGTAGGGTTTAATTGTGGATAGACCTCCATGTAAGACTTGCTGCAACAGGTAGGGAAATAGGAGTCTTTTGGCTACAGCAGGAGGGGAATGGGGGTGGGGAAATTGAAATACCGGAGCAGGTGGGGAAAATTTTCCCCCTGGTTTTTCTGCAGCGTGGGGCCCGCGGTGGGCTGTCACATTTAAAAAAAAATAGAAAAATGCCTGACCAATCAGGCCTAGACACGTGGCAGCATGCATAGCTATGGTGGGTCCCAAATATAGTAATATATATGAAATAGGAAAAATAATGAATAAATATGGTGGGGTATATGTTGAAGTGATGTGGTTATGGTGGGCCCCAAATAAAGTAAAAAACTTTCTGAAAAACTAGCTGCTGCAGAGTTGATAGGGAAATGGAGTTTATTGAATTAAATAAAGTGATGTGGCAGGAGAGAGGGAGGTGAAATTTCACCTCCTGCTGGAGATGGTCTAAGGGTTAATAAGGCTTAGAAACCCCCTTGTAATATCACCCAGTTGCAGATAGACCCCTGTTAGTCCTATTGTTGCAGATAGACTCCCTGAGTTTTTTTTATTACTCTTTTACCCGAAAGAAAATTATTTTTTTGACAAATAGACCCCCCGAGGGTAAAAGAGTCAAAAATTCACAATTGGGCAATAGTACAGGGGGTCTATCTGCAATTAACTCTAATAATAATTATCGTAGTGCTAATGCTAGTGCTAATGCTAAATAATAATAGCGATGGAGCAAATGAACAATCAAGGCAAGATGCAGGTTAACTTCATCAAGCTTTTCTGGATTAAAATTTGTTTCAATCTATGGTAATGTACCTTGAAAAAAAAGAAGGAGGTTTTACCTGGTGCAATGTAGCCTATTGAACCTTTAATCCCAACCGAGAAACTAGCATCTTGATCTTTTACGCCTTTGTTTCCATTAAGAAATCTTGCCAAGCCAAAATCAGTAACACGAGCATTCATGTCATTATCGAGAAGAACGTTGCTGGGCTTTAGATCACAATGGACAATTGGAGTATCGCCATTGTGATGAAGATACTCCACGGCAGAAGCCACATCAATACCTATGTTTAATCTCTGAGTAAAGCCTAACCCGCACGCTTGAAAATTCGCAAGGCCTTTTGGATGCAGCCACTCTTCTAAACTCCCATGGGGCATGAACTCAAATACTAGAGCTCTAAATTCATTACCTTCAACATCAATGGTTGAGCAGGAAGTAAGGATCTTAGCGAGATTTCGATGACGAATGTTTCTCAACGCCTCACATTCTGCCATGAAACTATTAAAACCTCCTCTCTCCTGTAATTTAAGCACTTTGATGGCAACATCATTCTTGTAACCGTTGATCCTTCCCTTGTAAACAGACCCAAAAGTTCCTTCACCGATCAGGCTCTCTGAAGAGAATCCATCCGTAGCTTTGCGCAATTCACCATAAGAAACTTTTCTATAGTGGTCATCAGAGAACGTTACTGATGGGAATAATTTTCTAGGTTTTCTCTTCTTATAACGAGCGACGCCAATCAGAGATAAGAAGCACAAACATACAAACACGATCACAGATACAATTATTCCTATCAGAACAGGAATCCTGATCTTTCTTGAAGCTTTAGAGTCATCAATGAAACAAACAGGTAGTTTCAGCTTTGGATCACCTCCGCATAGCTGATTATTTCCATACAGAGAAACTGCACTTAGATTGCTAAAGACTCCTGCGGCTGGCACTCTCCCCTCGAAATGATTGAATGATAGGTTAAGCGATTTCAGAGAACTAATTCTCGATAAGAAGTAGGGAATTTCCCCTGATATATCATTATGAGAGATATCAACCTCTTCAATACCCTTCAATTCGCTTAACCGAGAAGGAATTGGCCCTTCCAAGGAGTTGCTTTCTAGGTGGAGGTATTGCAACACATGACAATCACCAAAAGTGCTAGGAATTTTGCCAGACAGTTTGTTATATGAAATATCAATCCGGGCAAGGTTATTTAGTCTTCCAACTTCCGATGGAATGGGGCCGGACAATGAATTATGCGACAAATCAAGAAGTTGGGAGAGAGAGGAGATACTAACCACCTCCTTAGGTATGATACCGTCAAGTTGATTGTAAGAAAGGTTGAGCTCCACGAGATTATTAAAATTTCCAAAGCTAGTTGGAATCACCCCTCGGAAGAGATTTTCGCCCAATAGAAGTCGACCCAGGATACTGAGGTTGCCAAGTGATGCTGGTACTTCTCCGGATAACCTGTTGTGAGAAAAATCCAATAACTGGAGGGACTTCAGTGTTCCGATCGATTCTGGAATTGAGCCCGTCAGAAGATTATGGTACAGATCAATTGTAGCGAGGCTCTCGAGGTTCTTGATCTCTGCAGGAATGGCTCCTGAAATTTGGTTTCCTGACAGAGATATCACCTCCAATGTTGTTGATAAATTCGTTATATGGCTTGGAAAACCGCCCTCGAAAAGGTTATCGCAAAGAATTAGGAAGCTTAACTGTGTGCAGGTGGTCAGAGAAGCGAGAAAGCGCCAACCTTCAGCATCGTCTGCCATCAACTGATTACCGCAGAGATTGAGCTGATATAGATATGGAAGATCTCCAAAAATTGGTGGCACAACACCGCTAAACTTATTTGCGGCAAGGTCTAAAACTTCGATTCCAGAAAGATTGGAAAGTGAAACTGGAATAGTCCCTTCAAATTGGTTCCCCTGGACAATCAATTGTTGGAGGTTCGGAAGAGTGTGACCGATATTAACAGGAAGTTCTCCGACAAAATAGTTCAGCCCCAAGCTTAGAGACCCAAGCGATGTGAGATTGTAAAGAGAAGAAGGAACCGTGCCTGACAATTCGTTGAAGGAGACATCAAAGTCCTTCAAGTTTGATAAACGTGCAAGGCTCTCCGGAATGGTTCCTTCCAACTTGTTATCACGTAGGCCCAGCATGAGGAGATCCGTGCAGTTCCCAAGCGAAGGTGGAATAGCTCCCTCTAGTCTATTGTCGGATAGAGTAAGAAGGATGAGTGACGAGAGGTTACCGGTAGAGGCCGGAATTCCTCCCGTGAGGCTATTGCTCGCTAGGTCGAGGCGAGAAAAGGTGGAAGAGCTACTACTACTGCTGGCCCCTATCCAAGCAGGAATTGTCCCTGTCAGCTGGTTCTTGCTGAGATAGAGCCACGATAGCTTCTTCAAAGAAGCGAAAGAATCAGGAATTGTTCCCACTAGCATGTTGTTATCTAGACACAGGACGCGGAGGTCAGAGCAGTTGGAGAGACCTGCGGGGATCTCGCCATGAAGGAAGTTGTGGGAGAAGCTAACGTTTTGGAGGCTGGACAGGTTGGATAGAGATGTGGGGACGTCTCCTCGAAGAGAATTGTAGCTAATGTTGAGGTAGCGGAGTTGCTGCAGCTGCCCAAGTTCTTCTGGGATGCGACCAGTAAGCTTATTGTTCCCAAGATGAAGTCGAGTGAGGAAGGAGAGGTTTGATAAGGAAGGAGAGATTGGACCAGTGAGGTTGAAGGAGTCGAGGTATAAGGCAGTGACTCTGCTGGGGTTGCCTGACTTGTTGCAGGTCACACCGATCCATTTGCATGGATCCAGTGTTTCGTTGGACCACGAGGACAAAGTTCTCGTAGGGTCGGAGAGAAGGGATTTGAAGGATAAGAGGGCGAACCGATCATCAGTTTCGCTGCTTGCTAAGATTGTGAGAAGGGTTATGTGTATAGAAATCAAGGCAATATGCTTGGGAAGTTTCATTGAGCTGTGTAAGAAAGATAGTGTTCATAACATACACATTTCAGGGCTCACATACGATCTTAATTTAAAGAGCTCGGTAATGAACCTCAGCATCTTGGATCTCCTGTCTAATTCATTCTCATTGAAGATAGTAACTGATAGTAACTGAAGCCTATTAGTGACTTCAACCATCAATCAAACTTGATGGCCGATTGTGTACACAATTCTAAGATTAGCCGCGGCAGTACTAGAAAAAGAGGAGTTGACTAAGATAAATATATCAACATAGACCAAGACAATAAAGAAAATGTCGTACCGTAAACAGAGTTCCATATTCTATGCAACTGAGAGACGAAAATTGTGCAGCATGTGCATACCTTGTTAGACCGAGCAACGTGTAGCTGGCAAAATATATGTTTTGACTTTGCAATAGTTAATATGAATCTTGCTACCTACAACTACAAAGTAGTTTTTCAAGTCATAAAGAAACCATAATGACTAATTCATACATAAATAAGTAGAGTATTGTAATGTTGGGAAACTACGCAAATTCCCTTATAACCAGATTTATGAGAAAGCGAAATAAATGCGCAAATAAGAGGACACGCAAGATTTAACGTGGTTCGGCACAAAATTACTTATGTCAACGGGCTGCTGTAGATCTTTCACTAAGGGGAGAAAATTTACAAACACTCTCACAAATACTCACAACCAGATTTCACTCTCAAAATTGCTCACAATTCTCTCACAAGGCCTTTTCTCTAAGTCTTTCTTTTCTCTCTCTTATTCTTCTATAAGAGGAGTTGTTTCTGAGATAATTTTTTCTTAAGAATTTGGGGCCTATTTATAGTGTTTGGAAAAATACTATGCACCAATAATTTATAACTGGTGGGGCCTGCGGTGGGGCCCACCCGTCATTTTCTCTTTCAACTCTTGCTTTCGATGGCATGAATTTTTTGACAAAAAAGAGCCAAAGGCTCTTTTGGTGGCTTTTTCAAAGGTTTGCTTCATTTGTCAAAAAATGGCAGTAGCCACTTTTGACTAACAATCTCCCACTTGAAGACTGATTTTAATCCGTCTTCACATCTCGATATATACAGCAACTCTTCCCCGGTCTTGATATTATTGCAGGCCAACTGAAGCTGAACACAGCTTCAGTTTGTCAGTAGTCACCGTCTTTGTCAGCATGTCTGTCGGATTTTGAGCTCCACTGATCTTTTCAAGCTTCAAAATTTCATCTTCCAGAAGTGATCGGATAAAATGATACTGCATCTGTATGTTCTTCGTTCTGGAATGAAAAGGCGGATTCTTCGCTAGATGAATAGCACTTTGACTGTCGCAATATAAGACATTGTCTTCTTGTTTCTTGCCTAACTCATCCAAGAAACTTGACTGTCGCAATATTCTGTCTTACTTGTGGAGAGAGCAACTATCTTCTGCAGTTGAGAAACCCAACTCACTGCAGTACCTCCTAGAGTATAGACATACCCTGTAGTGCTCTTTCTGACATCAACATTTCCTGCTAAATCAGCATCCACATAGCCTGTTGGTATTGTAACTCCACCTTTGAAACAAAGTATTTTACATGTGGTGCCCCGTAAATACCTGAGGATCCATTTAACTGCTTCCCAGTGTACCTTGCCCGGATCATTCATGTACCTGCTAACAACTCCCATTGCTTGAGCAATATCTGGTCTTGTAAAAACCATGGCATACATCAGACTTTCAATTGCTGAGGCATACGGCAACTTCACCATGTGTGCACGCTCTTACTCTGTTTTTGGTGACTGCTCTTTGGAAAGTCTGAATTGAACACCTAAAGGTGTACCCACTGGTTTAGCATCTTGCATAACAGACTCCCACTTGACTGAATCCTTCACCTGCATTGTTTTATCATAACACTCCAGTTCACCACTGTCAGTCAACAACAAGTAGTGCAAAGAAGGCGAATAACGTTGTATTGGCTTAGGAATTCTGGAGGAGCGTCTCATTTCTGGCGTGCTTGGTTTTTTTGAACTTCTTCAGGACTAGTCTGAATATCATTTTCAGATATCTCCTCAAATTCAACAAATTCCTTTATTTCAGCTTTTGTACTGGAGCTACTTGATTCTGCAATTGATCTGTCTTTGTACATCACATTCTCATTGAATATGACATCTCTGTTTCTGATTATCTTCTGATTTTTATAATCCCAAAACCTGTAACCAAACTCATCACCGTCATAACCAACAAAAACATATTTGTTAGATTTGGTATCAAGTTTACTCTTTTTAGCAGAATCTATGTGTACATAAGAGATACAACCAAAAATTCTTAAATGCGAAATGTTTACCTCTTTTCTACTCCAAGCTTCTTCCGGTATTCCACCATCCAAGGGAACTGAGGGCCCGCGGTTGATTAGGTAGGCTGCGGTATTGATAGCTTCAGCCCATAGGAACTTGGGCAAGCCGGCATGTATCCTCATGCTTCTGGAACATTCATTCAAAGTTCTGTTCATGTGGTCCGCTACGCCATTCTGTTGTGGTGTCATGGGAATTGTTTTCTCCATCTTGATCCCTTTGTTTGCGCAAAATTCTTTGAATCTACTGTCTTTGTACTCTCCTCCATTGTCTGACCTCAACCGCTTTATCTTCAAACCAGTTTTATTTTTCACCATGGGTTTCTATTTTCTGAAGGTATCAAAGACTTCTGATTTTTTCTTCAGAAAATAGACCCATAATATGACATAGTATAGTAAACCTGCAAGAGATGAAACTGAAGTGGCCCACATATGTTAAAAAGAAAAAAGAAAGTGAAGAAACGTGCGGGCTTTCTGACAGCTTTTTCGCCCTTCCATTTTCCGCTCGAAAACCCCTGATTACAGCGAAAAACTCCTCTTTGTTCTCTCCCGTACAAAAATCTCAGATTGCTCTTCCCCTTTCCACTCGTTCTGGTTACCCCTCTCTCCCGCTCCCGCCCCTCTCTCCCGCTCCCGCCCTTCTCTCCCTCCCGCCCGAATCAACCAAGAATTTCGACCTCCTCCTTCCCTCACGCCTTCCAATCTAGGGTTCAATCTATTCTCAGACTCAGACCTCCCGTCCACCCACTCCCTCTTCGGCGTCGACATCACTGTCCTTGCCGACGACGCCCTGCTCCCCCTTTCCCTCCACCACCACACCTCCTACCCCTGAGTCGTCCACCTTTTGGGTCTGTTTGGATCGCATTTGTGCTGTCTGACACCGATTGAAACCCTAGCCTTCGAACAAAAGGGAAAACAGTACAAGATCCTGGTTGATTTATGGAGGTACAATGCTAAAAATCAAATCTTTTGTATTTATTTAATTTTTTTATGGCTTTCATTTATCAATTTCCTTCTTCCTTTGACGCCAGGTTTAATATTTGTCTGAGTTTGGGTATTTTGACCACCATTTCCCACTACGATTTGCAAAACAACTTCAAATCTGTAGTTGTTGCTTGGCAGGTGTAGATATTGGAGATTATCTACTACAGTTCTCTGCTTTCTGGCACTAGGAAGGTAAAATTTTTTACTGGTGATTATTCTGTGTATTTTTCCAGTTTGCATGTCATGTATTGGTTGTTTTTTGAGATTTTGGTATGCAGACATCTATTTATTATTTGAAAATTTTGATTGTAGAAATTATTAATAGCTTATCTAACTAGTCTTAATTTGATATGTATAATCCTTGCAACGTATATCTCATAGAAATTATTAATAGTATGAGCTTGTATGGTTATCTGATTTGTTCTCATATGATGCGTTGGAGAAATCAATTTTGCAACTTATATCTCTCAAAATAAAGAAAGCATAGATGATAAATTCGTTATTGTAAGAGGATCAAGGTGAATGATTTCACCTTGATGGAATGAGAGTATCCTACATATTTCTAGTGCGACGTTTGTATTTTGATTAAATAGTTTGATTATCTGCAGATAGGAGAATTTGTCAAACATTTCATAAATAATTATGATAATTTTCTTAAAAGATTTTGATCATTTGCATCAACAATGGTATATGTATATTTTGTGTAAAGCTAATGCTACTATCTCTATCATTTGTGCAAAGCTAATGCAACTATCTCTATAATCATGCATCTCAGCCGTGACTTTAAATGTTTTATCGAATATTATTTGGCTAATGCAAACTTGTTTGAACATGTTTACTAGTGGGGAAAGGTGAATGGTTTCACCTCGTTGAATTAAAGTTAATGAGGTATGCATATTTTGTGTCATGATGATGGGTTTTTTTCAGATATGCAGCCAAAGTTTATAACAGCAATATATTGGCGAGACAATATATTGCAGCCAACATTGCTATTATAAAATTCATGGCGGGGCAGATAATGAAATAAATAGCCTTTTCTGAGCACATTTATTAGTTGTGTGCATTCCTTATTCATTTCCAGCAACTGTCTTTTTTCAGTTGTGTGCTTTCCATCTGTTTCTTGGCCTTATATTCAATTATGGATTTCTATACTTGAATTCAGTTGTGTGCTTTCTGTCTACTTTCAGTTGTGTGCTTGCTAATTGTTGCTTGTCCTTCGGTTTCAGTCCTATGCTTTCCCAGTTGATGCTTCAGCCTTGGTTTCAGTTGTTTCCCCTCATGTGATTTCAGTTGTGTGCTTGCTAATTGTTGCTTGTCCTTTGGTTTCAGTCCTATGCTTTCCCAGTTGATGCTTCAGCCTTGGTCTCAGTTGTTTCCCCTCATGTGATTTCAGTTGTGTGCTTGCTAATTGATGTTTGTCCTTTGGTTTCAGTCCTATGCTAATTGATGTTTGTCCTATGGTTGTTATGTAATTGGAAATTTGCAACCAATGTTCAGCATGCTGGTTTCAGTCTTGCTCTCGGCCTTGATTTCAGCTATCTAAGTGTTTGAGTACAGTTGAGTGCTTGCCTTATTCATTTCCAGCAAACGTTTTGTTTTGTTGCCTATTGGGCTGGTTTCAAAAACCCTAAATGCCTTTTGTTCTTGAGATCTTGAGTTCTTGCTCCGATTTGAGCTCTGTTTTTTGCTCCGATTTTGAGCTATCTTGAGTTCTTGCTCCGATTTGAGCTCTGTTTTTTGCTCCGATTTTGAGCTCTGATATGTGGATTTTCGTGGTCTGTTTGAGCTTTGATCTGTGCTCTGTTTTT